TGGCCTGAGGCTCGGACAGTGGGCCTCTGGTCAAGGGAGGCCCCCGGTCAGTCCCTGGTCCAGGCTCGCAGCTGTGGCCTCCAAGGCCCCCAGCCACCGCCCTTCCCCCCTGTTCATCCTCAGCTCGGCTGGTCCTAGGCCCCACGGACGATGGTCAGGCCTGGCTGGGTTTCCTGCTTCCCTGGCCACCTCGGAAGGGGACGGAGAGGCTCAGAGAGGGGCCGGACGGAGACAGGCAGAGCGACCCTGAGACCTAGAGAGGCCCAGCGCAGGGAGGGCCACAGAGGCAGCAACCAGGACAGATGTTCAGCACAGAGCAAAGCAGGGCTGGGGAGGGGGATTGTGGTGGGGGGCAGGGCAGCTGGCCAGCTGGGGGGGATCCCCCACCCCCTGCCGCCCTGGTGGTGTTAACAAGTCTAATTAAGAGGCCACTGGCCCAACTTAATTGGCTCGTTAACAGGAATCGCCTCTGAAAACCCCCCACCTCAGCAGGGTGGCTCTCTGGAGGGAGATGTGAGGGAGTGTTAACGAGGGATCCCGCAGCCCCCCCCCCATGGCTCCCCTCCCCCTTTCCCTCCCTCTACAGCGCTCCCTCTGGCCTCTGGCCACAACCAGGGGAGCGGCATCTGTCCTTTGCAGGGCTCTGGGAGCAGGATGAGGGGAGTGGGAGGCCGAGTGGGGACCTAGGATTCTGTCTCTGGGCCAGGCCGCTGGTTGTGGATCTGCCATCTGACTTCCTGGTCCCTCTGCCTCCCCCACCTAGTGCTGGCTTTCGACAGGTGCTCCCCCTCTCCACCCTTCCATCTCCAGTCTCCCGGGCCGGTCTATCACGCCTGGGTTGCCGAGGCCAGGACTAGGGGCTGCTTTTGACTCTGACAAGACCCCTCCTGGGGCTGGAGAGGAAGGGCTGGCATGCTCACACAGCCCCAGGGCGCTCCCCCACCCCAGTTCACCCCATGCAGCCCCTGCCTCGCAAGGCTGACAGCTACCCGGAGTTCCCTAGGTTTTGCCCACTCCTCCCTGCCTTGCGGACGGTCTTTGGGGAGGGCCCTCAGGGGCTTCGGGTGGGAGTGTGTGTGTGTGTGTGTGTGTGTGTGTGTGTGCGTGTTCGTAAGCATGAACTGAAGCAGAGGAGAGTCCGAGGCTGGAAGAGTGGTGGGGAGGGACAGGGCAAGAGGAGTCAAGGATGAGGGTGAGAAGGTGGGGGACAAAGACAGGAGTCCAGCGGTAGGGCCCCTCAGCTCCAGCCTCATTGGACAGCAGAGGTCAGTGGCCAGAGATTCGGGTCACGGGGTCAGGAAAACTGGTTAAAGCATGCAGGGAATAGAGGGGAGAGGGTTTTCCCTGAGAAGCGACCGCTTCCAAGCCTTGGCATAACCACACCAAGACTGGCCATGCACATGCAGACTTGTGCACACACACTCGTGCCAGCGTGCAGACACGTGCACCCAGGTGCACACCCACCCGGGGACCTCCATGCGCCTGTGCACGCTCCTCGGAGTCTCCTCGCTCGCTCGCACGCACTGGCGCACACACGCTCACCTGGAGGAGCTGGGTGGTGCTGTGACCTGTGACTTGGGTCCCATGCCCCTGCCCACCCTCCACAGAGGCGCCTCACGTGCAGTATGAGCGCCTGGGCTCCGACGTGACACTGCCATGCGGTACAGCCAGCTGGGACGCAGCAGTGACGTGGCGGGTGAATGGGACAGACCTGGCCCCCGACCTGCTCAACGGCTCCCAGCTCTCCATCCACGGCCTGGAACTGGCCCACAGCGGCCTCTACGCCTGCTTCCACCGTGACTCCTGGCATCTTCGTCACCAGGTTCTGCTACATGTGGGATGTGAGTGTTGCCCTTGACCCCTTACCTGCTCTCTTGCCTCACTCAAGGGCTGCGTTAGTGGAGCTCAGGTCCCAGCCCAGACCATACCTCTACACGAAGGGGAGGTAGCTGTAGCGCCCTGTCCTTGCCCTGTGACGTCATCCTAACCTGCTAGTCTGATCTCTAAGCCACATCCTTCTCAGTGAGCCCAGACCTGCGGGCACTTTGTCGACGTAGCCCATGCCCATCCCGGAGGTCTTTGAGGTCCCTCTCCTCATGACATGGTGGGCAGAGAAGAGTTCATCTGGGGTCCCTTGGAATCACAGCTCTGAGCTGGAGGGACCTCCCTGTGTGCTTTCAAGGGGTTGGCCACAATGGCCTAAGGGAAAGAAATGGGCCGTGGGCCCTGCAAATCTAGAGAAGAGCACCCTAGAAGGCCCCTAAAATGAGGAAGACACTGGGGCCTGCAGGGGTAGAAGGTGCATTCGAAAGGCCATTTTTGGCAGGGAGCCGGAGGCAACACTAGACCTTAGTCTAATGAGGGGAAGGAGACCAGGGAGAGGGCAGGGGTGACTCACGATCCTGGAAGCTGGAGGGGGGCGAGGGTCAGGGTCATGTTCTTAGAAGATCCCTCTCGGTGCAGTGAAGAGAAGCAGTAACAACTGGGGACCAAGCCAGGGCAGGAAGCCCAGGAAGGAGGCTGTTTTGGGGATCCAGGGATCCAGGGGTATCTGGGGCCAGGCCTCAGAGCTAGAGAAATCCCGAGGGGGTGCTTGTAGCTCCAGGGATTGGTGATGGATTGGAGGTGGGAAGCCAGGAGGACAGAGAGGGAGGTGCCAAGACAGCAATTGGTCCCAATCACTTGGGCAGAAAGGACACAGAAGGTCCACGAGGAGGAGGAGGAGATGGTGTGTTCTCTTGGGCAGCATCGTTGTCTGGGCTTCCCTGGAAGCAGATCCTGAAATGAGGATCTGTCTGCAAACAGTTTATTTGGCAGGTGAGGGAACCATCATAAGAGACGGGGAAAGTGACACAGATGGAGGAAGTTCATACAGCCAGTAAAGAGTGAGTCATCAGGACCCTTACCTCTGGGCAGGAGCTTAAGCCACCGGACAGCTCCCTCCTGCACCTCTGAGTAATCCTACCTGAGGGGTGATGGGCGGGCTGCTGATCCACTAACTCCTGCCTGTCCTGGCTGACGGATTCTCCTGGGGTGGGAGTAGGGGTGCTCTACTTCTCCAGCTTTTGGCTTGATGCCCCCACTGGCACAGTGGGCATTGGTGCCCAACAAAAGCTCTTTCTTCAGCAAAGAACTGCAGAGGCTGGTATTGGAAAGTGGTGGGGCCAGGCACCTGCACATGACCAAGACCTGCCACGGATATATTGGGTGAGGGTCCTTAGGGGCCAACTAGGAGTTGGTGGATCTCAGATCTGGGGCTCAAGGGAGAGAGCTGTGCTGGAGATGGAGATGTGGGGGTCGTCAGCATCCAGGTGATGTGAGTGGGTGAGACGGCTCACAGGGAGATTTGGGGGGGAGAAGAAAGAGATCCTAGAACTGAGCACTGCAGACCATGACCGCAGGGGTGGGTGCTGAGAAACAAGCCAGGTGGAGCAGGGAAGCAGAGAAGCTGAGGGAAGGCAGGGTAGGTGTGACCGGGAAGGAGGTTTGGAGGAGTCGGCCTGCTGCAGGAGTCCCTGCAGAGGTGCACCCCAGCATCTGGTACACACCTGGATCTCTGCCAGAGGCCCCCACCAGCCCGGTGGACATCCTGGAAACAGCATCCTGCTTCTTCCACTTCTTTTCCTTGTGAACCAAGGGATGGCAGTGACTCTACTGCCCCGTGGGTTCTTTGGGAGACTCGGGGGTGCCTCAGTGCAGGCCCTTGCCCTCCTTGTGGGGTAACTGGTATGGAGACAGGTAATTGCTTAGGGCCCATCACAGAACCACGAGGCTGCCCCCCGTGGGGCTGTGGGTGGGGGCTGGGGAGAGGTGAAGCTTCCTTCTAGTCATCTCTGTGTGTGGAAACTGGGGGTGGCATCCTTCATGGAACCCCTCAGCCCAAGGGTGGAACGACCCCTGTTGGCCAGCTTGAGGAATGCACCACCAGCCTAATGTCCGTCTTGACCAGGGGTCCTCAAACTTTTAAACAGGGGCCCAGTTCACTGTCCCTCAGACCCATTGGAGGGCCGGCCTATAGTTAAAAAAAAAAACTATGAACAAATTCCTATGCACACTGCACATATCTTATTTTGAAGTAAAAAACAAAACGGGGCAAAAACGGGGCTGGATAAATGTCCTCCGCGGGCCGCATGTAGCCTGCGGGCCGTAGTTTGAGGACCCCTGTTTCTTGACCATCCGAACTGGAGACATGCTTAGCCTTGAGCTCTTACACAGAACGAGGAGGCCAGCTTGGAACCAGTCTCCTACAGCCTTGCCTTCTGAGTGTGGGCTCCCACGGTCAGGATGGGCAAGGCTGGCAGCAGATGGACAGGTCTTGGTGACCTCGGGCCCCTGTTCTTGATGAATTGACTTGATCTCTGGAAGGCCACTAGGAGTGGGGTGAGGCTTGGAGGCGCAGCTGCACGCACAGGACATGCCCACGGTTGCCTTGTGTGACCAGAGCTCAGCCCTTTCTGACACGGAGCTCACCGCTCCCCCGGGGCCCGTCTGTCAGAGGAGGGCTGGCCAGCATGGGCTGGAGCATCAATATCAGATACTTAACTCTCACGGCCTTGTTTCCTTCTAACGACTGGGCAGAGGGAGAGGAGATATTCATCATGATCATCTCATCATTTTACATCAGTAACAAGAGACTGGGGATGGCCACACACAGTATCAAAGTGTCCTCCTCGGCAGCGCTCAGAAACAGGACAGAGTTACTCCCCATCCGTTGCTCATTCAGACACACACAAAAGCAATGTTCATCCTAAACATACATGACGGCCACATCTCTATTTCCAAGGGAAACCAGTGACAGGGATTCTGTTTGAAAGTCTTCACCAGGCTGGTCCCTGACCTGCCCACAAACTCCAAAGACCTGCTTGCTTACCCAGGATTCTGAAAGGAGTGCCCCACCCCCACCCCACCCGTTAGGTAACAGGATTCCAAGATCCCTTTGAGCAGCAACAGCAGCCTCTGGTTTAGGAAACACTGCTCTTTCAGTACCATTCTGATTTCAAGCTTTAGCGAGGCAAAGGTCACGTGGGCAGTTCCTTGTTCAGCTTTCAGAAACAGTTGTTTGGTGGGCAGGAAGGGAAACCCCAGACCCCTGGGCTAGGTGCCCTCCCCCAGCCCGGGGAAGGAAAGCGTGGGGAGGAGGGCAGTGGTGGAAGAGGAAGGTTCTGGGGGAGACGAGATAAGAAGGGGCATTTGGAGTCCGGCAGTTCGGGTGCTTTGAGTGATATCATTAGGTAAGGTTGGACCTGCCATAGGCCATGAGTGCCAGGCAGGAGGGGTGTGGACGGGGCCTGATCAGAGTTGGCCAGGCCTGTGGGCAGCCTGCCCCTCCTCTCTGGGCCCGCAGGCAACCCTCATGCGTGCCGGGGGCTCCAGCCCAGGCGGGCTGGCGAGAGGAGAGGAAAAACATGCGGTTTGGTGGGCTGGACATGGAAAAACAAGCCAATTAGGAGGAAAACAAACAAACCCGGGGCGGGGGGGTGGGGGGGGTACGCATGTGCACGCACACACACAGCCCCGCATGGGGCCCAGGGGCATCCTGCCCCAGGCTGACACGGCCCCTGGGACATCTCAGGAGCCCCCCACAAGGGGCAGCTCAAGATGGCCTGGCATCCAGGGGCACCCCTGTGCACCCCGAGTGTGCGTGCGTGCACACAAGTGTTTGCTCCCTCTTAGCATGGGCGTGCATGGTGTTCAGCTCACATGGGTGAGCACGCCTAGATCCCTGGACTTCTTCCCACAGCCAAAGCTCGAAAAACTACCCAGGCTAACGCTTGTTACACACACCCTTATCTTGTGTGTGCATCGTCGCTGTCACGAATTTCACACATGACGTCACACGGACTCTTCCAGAGCACTTCGCCCGCCTTACAGCTGCGCACACACCAGCAGGCCCGAAATCAAGCAGCCACACCCAAGTCACAGGCGGAAGCAGCCCTGCAGTCACACACTGTCTCACACCAGGCAGCCTGACTGCCCAGTCTGAGCCACACACGTGAGGCCTCGCCGCTGCCATCCAGTGGTTCCCAGGCAGCCTCTAGGAGGAGCGCCACACAGCAGGGCCTCCTTACAGGGCATCCCACTCGCACCCTGCCCCACAACCTCACGCTGGGTCCCATAACACCCCCACCCCGCCCTACCAGCCCCTCAGCTGGGCGCCAGCTGCAACAAGTCCCTCTTTTCTTCCTAGTCTTTGTTTTCCTTTGCCCTCTGAGAAACCTGGTCCCTGTCAGGAAACCCAAGCCCTTCCCCGTTCAGGGCCCAGGGCCAGGCAGGAGTAGCCAGATGACAGACAAAGCCCACCCAGACCCCCATGCACTGCCCAGTCCTGGAGGGGAACTGGTTTGGGGGGAGGTTGCTCTGAGGTGGGAGGACAGTCCCAGGGAGGAGGAGGAAGCTGGTCAGTGGGAGGCGGGATGGGGGTGGGGGCCCATGAGCCTAGTGCCATGGCCGGCTCTGCCCTCCAGAGAGCCCAAGGTGGCAGGGTGCTGACTCTGCAGGCTTCCGTCCCTGCCTGCCCCCCCCAGGGCCCTTCTCCTTTGAAGTTGGGGGTTGAGGGGGGGTAGCGGGAAGGGGGGTGGAGTGGAGGCTTCTCGGCCGACCTCAGAATGTCCTTTCCTCCTGGGGCAGCTGCCAATTCTGGCCTGGCCTACAGGCCCCCACAAGGTACTTCCTGTGTCCTTGGCTGCCCCCCACGCCACCCCCATGCAGATAGGGAAGGGACACGAGGCACCCCCCATGTGAACACGGGACCCACACAAGATGGACTTCCCGGGAGAGGGAAACAGCAGTGGTCAGAGCACAGGTTGTGCCTGCTGGGCTCCGCTGGCTCCAGCTATGCCCTGCAGGCCCCGGGGACAGTGCCCACCACATTGTCCATTTTACCTGCTCCACCCAAGCTGGCCTGATGCCCACTTGTCCTCTCCTCCCTTCTGCTGCCATGGCAGATCTGGGCCTGGGGCTTCTCCCCAGACCCCTCACACGCAGCAGCCATGTACATGCTATCACACAGACACACACACACACACACACACACACACACACACAGTCACAGTGACAGGCACACAGCGGATGGAAGCCCACGGTCCCCCCACGTCCCCATGGCCACCCCACAAGCATAGACATGCACTCCCTGGATTATTGAGCCGCCCCCTCCCATTTCCTGTCCACCTGTCAGGCAGGGGGTGGGGCGGCCTAGAAGGGAGGGGTCAGTGTCCCTGGAGCCATGGACGGACATTCCTTGCCTGGGTCAGATCACAAGCGCTGCCTCCTTCCAGGAACCTGAGCCGGCTGTCCTCACGCCTTGCCCAGTGCCTGAGGATGAGACAGCTGGGCTAAGTGCTCACGGCAGCAAAATGCATGTGGGGAGGACAGCAGGCAGGACTTCCCAAGTGGGCTGTGGGGTTTAGTCCCAGCTCTAGCTTGCTGTGTGAACCCAGGCAGGTTCCCCCACCCCCCCATGGGCCTCCCTATTCCAGAGGCCCAGCAGCTATGAAGAGAAGCTGGGCCTGGGACTGGGGCACACCAAGGGACAGCAGCATCCTCTCCACAGGCGCATGCGTGTGCGCACGGTCCAGCCAGGCCCAGGTTCACACCCACCCGAGTGGAAGCCAGAACCCGGATGCACTGCTGTCGGGTCGATTCCTACATGGGTAGCCACACACATCTGGTCACTGGGGGGGTCAGGCTTTCCAGAACTGCCCAGACACGTGTCTGTGCCCATAGCCGCTCTCTGAAGTGGACCCGGCCACGCAACGCCCTGTTGTGCCTGCATAGCCGCCCCCCCCAGCTTCTGCTGAGGGGCCCCGCCACCCCTACCAAGGGAGGCTTGGGTGGCTTCAGGATGTGCAACCCAGTCACCTCGGTCACCAGAGGGCCGGTCCTTGGCCCCCGTCCCTTCTTCCTGCTGTGGACACAGAGTGGCCAGAGCTGTGGGCCTGGGGCCCTCCAGACGGCACGTCCACCCTGTGATTGATGAGCTGAGGCCCGCAGCCCCCTGCTCCCCAAAGTTCCCGCCTCCACCGAGCAGGTGCGGGGGGCTGGGGGGGCTCCCTCTCTGCACAGTCCTTGTTTTTCTTTAATTAAACATCTGGCTCTCTGTGGCCTGGGAAGCCTCAGACCCTCGCTGACAGCGCCTTCCCCCCCACCTCTGGCATCGCATCGCTGATGGGCTCGGGGTGGGGAGAGCTGGGGCTCCGGGGACCACCTGTCCCCACAGGAGTGCAGGGGACGGGGGCTCCAGGAGTGCCCTGACTGTCGTCCTCGCCCCCAGTGCCACCGAGGGAGCCCGTGCTCAGCTGCCGTTCCAACACTTACCCCAAGGGCTTTTACTGCAGCTGGCATCTGCCCAGCCCCACGTACATCCCCAACACCTTCAATGTCACCGTGCTGTGAGTAGCTGCGCCCGTGGCCGGTTCCCAACCCTGACCTCTGACACCCATACCCCCACCATGCCCTCAGCCCAGTCTAGCCGTGGCCTGACCTCCTCCTCACCTCCGCCCCACCTGACCCTTGGTGGTGCTAATGCTGCCTGGGCCCCGCCTCTCCGCAGGCACGGCTCCAAAACGATGGTCTGCGAGAAGGATGCTGCCGTCAAGAACCGCTGCCACATCCGCTACGTGCACCTGTTCTCCACCGTCAAGTACAAGGTCTCCGTCAGCGTCAGCAACGCCCTGGGGCACAACGCCACCGCCGTCACCTTCGACGAGTTCACCATCGGTGTGTGGGCACCCCTGGGGCAGACCCGGGTGGGAGTGCGCCAGGGGACGTGTGCATCACGTGCACA